TAATTAAACAAGTTTTAACAATTTTTGAAAAATATAGATTATAAAAAAAATTACGTTTTAATCGGCCATTTTTAAATAAAATCACGATTTCTTAAAAAATAGCCACATAATTCATCTTTAAGATGAGCCCAGAAAAAAGTCTATATCTTTATTTTTCTGGAAGATATGAATTTTTAAACATTGGGGAAAAGAGGCTTCAACGCAGGTAACACGGCAATTTTAAGATAGGACTAATTGATTTTATATGCGAGATATAACTTATTGACACACTAAATGGAACTTGAAATTGTATAAAAAAATTGTTATTAAATAACTTCTGACAGGGTTTTATCTACATTCTTCCGCATATACATATTTATATGGAATAAAAGAACACTATTTTTGATAACGTTTTTAAACTGACAATTTAATATTGCATAGGATATATCGATAGGATTTTACTTAACTTTATTTACAGTAGTAATTTTTCGATCATTACTCAAGTTTTCCTTAGCCAAATGTAAATTATTAACTATTAATGGATGAAACTGGGCCCCTTTACTCAAAAATTTTATATATATATATAATATTCATTTATCAATAATATTTGGGATTTGGATAAAAAACCGGTTAGCTGTATATGATTTGTATAAATTTATTTTAGCTGTTTTTGGTATTTGACCGTTTTGATCTTAATAAACCAAATGTAACTTCGTAAAGCTGTAATTCTAAATGCTTCAACATTTCTCTACGTTGACAATGAACCATTATCTCTATATATCTATTTAATATCTAATAATACATTTATATCGAGTTTATAACTACACTACACTGCGCTCTTTCTCTCTGGCATTCTTTCATTCTCAAATTATTATACTTTACTTAAATAACATATTCAAAAAAGGATTATAATATATAAATCTCATAATACACACGCACACACACATGTGTGTACTATTGTAATATCGCGATAGACAAATTTATCATCAAGCGGTGAGACACCTCTCATATATGTATATATGTGAGTGTATGTGTGTGTGTTATAAGCTGTACACTACTATAGAGCGTATCGATACAAACATTTGAAAAGCATTTTTTAACAGCAAACAATGTATTCGTTATCAAACACATATCAAATTATTTGTCAACACTTTACATACTTTTATTTTATTACGTATTCACATTAATATTCTCATTAGTCACACAATATACTCGGTGCAAAGAAATAGATTTTCACATATTACAAAGCATTTCTTCCCAAGTTCGATCAGTGAAAATTCTTCGATATAGTTTCAGTGGAACAGCAGAAATAATCTTGATCGGAGACATGCGAAAATTAGTTTGCTGTCACAGTTTTGTCTACTTCGCATTAAATTAAATTTCTTTTTAGTAAATCTTTTTTTAACTCACTCTTTTATAAGAGCTGTATTGACAATCATTTATAATGTGTATAGATGTCATATAGTTAAGCACAATAAAAACATTTACAGTTTGGAAAGTTAATCGCCATTTAATAATTTTTTATTTTACAAAAAGCTTCAATATATTGATTACTTTTTGTAATTATTATTAGCTTTGAGCCGGTTTGTCGATATGTGATAAAACTGGCTGTACACGAAATAAAAATAAAAATTTTCGACGACAAACCTGACAAACGTGCTAACGGTCATAATAACGTACAACATGTGACATATTGAAACGGATAAAGTGATATTTATTTTTTATTTCTTTCCATCGTGCATTGACTACAATGAAGCACTCACTCTCATATTTTGACTAGAATCCGAAATCTATCAGCGTACACACATACACACGCGCACGCGTTTGTGTGTGTAGGCAAATAGTTATTTTAGGAAAATAGCTTTTGACTAGACAAATGCTCTCTGCTTAGCTCAAATAGTTTTCCCTCATTTACTTTTGTGTTCAAACACAATGCTATTTGACTGAAACCGCTGTTAGGTAAATGGTATTCAGCGAAGTCCACATTGATAGTAATATTAATATCTACAGCGTGTTTCTTAAAACTTGCAATTTTTGGATTAGTTTTTTCAGTATAGTTCAGTTAATCTTATCTTATCAATTCTATAATAGATTATATATTTTAGACATTTCAACTTCAGAGTAGCTCTATATAATTACATCACAGTTTGTTCAAGAAACATAATTTTGGGAATCTTAGCAAAAAAAATATTGTTCTCAACAATTTGAAATAAAAGAAATATTTTTGTAAACCGAAGTACTCGAATTTTTCCACTATATCGTATTTCTGCTTTATAAAGTAAAATTTATTTCCAATTTCCTAAAAACGGTTCAGGCAAATGCCTATTTATATCAAATGCCTTAAGAAAATAGCATTTAAACCCAAATAAACGGATGAAAGCCATTTGACCAGACAGACAGTATTTGTCTAGTCAAAAGCTATTTTCTTAAAATTACTATCGATATCTACATTACATTATAACTGATATCCTTCACAAAGCGCACTTTCTTTGAACTGCGGATTCTCTGTGTAATTAATTTCGAGTCAATTTTTGGCTACAAAAATATTATTGGATTATACGTGAGCGAGAATGAAGGACCTTTTGTATGGAAATTATTCAATAAATAAATTGTACTACTGGACTGTTAGCACGTTATTGTCCTTATATTATATTTTATACACTACTTAAAAAGTAAAATTATCTTTGTATATATAAATGATACAAGTCAATCGAGTGGTGTTATAGATAAAGCGATAATATACATTTAATAAATGGAAAATCGATGGATAATAATATAATATGAAATAAGAGGAACTACTATGATTCATATTTAAAAAAAGGAAACAATACTATTCTTTGAGTACAGAAATTCTGCAACTATAGGCTTGATTACTCTCTAACGCATCTTTGGTATCGCATTTACGAAGTTCGGAAGCACAAAACACGCGCTTAAAGAAAGCGGAACTAAAACCGGTAATTCTTTTCTCTGTAAACACTCAATCTATATATGTGTTTCGCAAAACTAAGTGAATTACAAAGAAACAAACAATTGATTTTTTTGATATTATATTCTCGCTTTCGAAGATTTGTCTTCGATCTAATTTCATTTCTTTGATTTATCTATCTCTCACGCAGATAGATATGTTTGCTATGTGTCCTTTATACAGACTGGATGCATTAACATGTAACAAGCTAAGATTTGGCATCCTCTAGAGAAAATGCTTACAAGAGATACACACAGCGCGATTAAACGGGAACTACGACACAAAGACGCTACGAGGCACTGAAGCAACAAATAAAAAAAAATTCGAATTTACAATGCTTCCTCAAAAACTTGAGAATACGTATAATTCTATATATGGCAGGTTTAATTGCTGACTTCGTTCCAGCATAAAATAAGACATGTTCTGTTATGTATCTGAAGATACATCTGGCGCACTCGTGTATACGTAATACGGCTTGTTTTTTCGTTTTTCTTTTTTTTTTTTTAATGAAAAGTATAGTTCGTTCTGAGATGAGTTTCATCAATGTCGCGTATTATTCGTAATTATCGATAGCTGCTGCGAGTTTCTTCGTTAAAGACTATGTTGTTATGGCCACACGTTACTTGATATATCATATATCAGGAATTATTATTCCATTCGGCTGTACGAACGGCATTGTTTGTCATCAGGCATAAAAGATGTAAAATGTACGACTACGTATATCACTCGATACGCATTGATAATTAATTGTGGACTAGCAAAAAAGAGGAGCGCAAACGGAGATATTTCATTGCTACTTTGTATACTTTGGCAAGATACAATAATCACCCAGTGCCATTCGTTTTAGTCGCACTATTAATTAAAGGATGCCATTAAAGAGTATTTTTTCCTTTTTTACATTTGGAAACAAATCGAGTAGGCATTTTTTTTTAATTTGGCATTAGGCAGTCAAAGCGACAACTACGTCGCCAAAAACAGTACTTTACTACCTATAACATTTTTATACTGTGGCTCCTTTTATCAAATAAAAAAAGATGTTAAAAAGCTCTTAGAATTATGTTTACATTGACAATAATCTTTCTTAACGCTTTCAGAAGACAATTATACATATGCATACAATATTTGATTTAAGTAAAATAATGTATCATTTCATTTAAAAGGATATGGTTGATTTTGATTGTAAAGATCAAATAATTTCACGTTTAAATTAGAGATACGCTTAATCAGATATTTCAAAATACAATAATTTTTGTAGAGCTTTAAAAGTTTTTCTAACTGTAGAAAAATATTTGAGTTGCTATTTAAACCAAATTGTATAAATCAACATTTGTAACAATTTTAACGATTAGAATAATAAATATATCAATTTGTATATCTAATCATATTGTAACATATTAGCTCAATCATGGATTTTCTTCTGAAAGTATTAAAGAAAATTTTCATTTGCTTTGCGACAATTACATTAATTCTACTAAATTCAAAATGTTGCAACATCTTTATGATATGGTTATTTCAAGTAAAAGTTAAATGAAAAATTAATACGCAATACATCGCTCGAGTAACAAAAATTTTTCGTTTCCATAGAATAAGTTTTAAAAAAACCTGTATAACTATATATAAATATATTCACAGTTAATTTATCTTAACTTTTCATAGAGAAATCACAATCGTGCATATCTATAGGAAAACAAAATTTATATAAAACTAATATGCTAACGCAAGTTAATGAGGAAATACATGAATTAAGAATAAAAACACGTCTTTAAGCGACAGATTTTTAAAAGCAGAATATTTTCCTTAACTTGAAGTCAAAATCCTTATTAAACAGTACAAAAGTATCTCGGAAAGCCAAATGACAAAACCTTGCTATAACCAATGAGCACTTCTACGAATATTTGTATTTACATAATTCATTATTATTTTCATGTTTCTCTATATCCATTAAACTTCCGTTAAATTTTCAAACGGACAATACATCGCATATATATATATATATATAGGTATATATATATATCTGATTCTGTGCGCTGAAAAAAATATTTGCCTGTATCACAGACTTCTTCAGTAATAACGCATAATATCTGCGTATTTTCTTATTGTTTAAATATGTATATACAGTTTAACTTCAAATTTCGGATTTCGAGTATTTTTTTCGACAGATATGTGTAGTACTATTACAAAACTGTTTTTTCATTCTCTAATTTGCATATACACATTATTGCAAAAAGTTTCGTGCTCTACATTTGATTTACAGTAAATATATTCTATTTATACAGCAAACAGAATAGTTGACGAATAGCCAAGATTAAATCGTTTAAAAATTATATTTATATCATATAGCTTTTCATCTCTGATGTCATAATCTAATGTGGCTGCAGTGAGCAATCTTGAGGAAAAACAAAAAGAACCGTCATTAAGATTCTATACATACGCAACGGAATCTAACCTTTGCTCTTCTATTTTACAAACATCGAAATCCGGAATTTGTAATAAAATAATGATATACACATATACAGAATGAGTCATGTAATTTGTTATAAATTTCAATATTTAGTATTCAAAATACTGAAAAAAATTCTTGACGGTTTAACAGAATAGATAAATAATAATAGTTAGAAAGATATATTATTCATGACATTTAAGCTATTTCTGAAAAATGATATCACAAAATCTACAGACATATATATTGATTTGTATTAGATGTTTCATCAAAAACAATTTTTTATAAGCTAAAAATATTGTAGTATTAATCAAAGATTGTAACAGAAATTACATTATTACATGATTCATACATATGTTATACGTACATACATATGTACATAATTTAATGAAAAAATAGTAACATATCAATTTTGCAATGGAATTGTTCTCCATTCAAGGACGATAAAAATATTATAATTGATAGTGCTTCATTACACACATCACTTTTTTAATGCAATACTAAAATATTTTTAAATAACAAGGTTTGGATTATAAAAGATGTAAACTTTAAAAACTACATTTTCATCAAATAAAACTTAAATGTGTAATAATATCCCAATTCCAGTATTTAAAGATATTTTAGTATTTATTAAATTAGAGCAGTGACGTGTCTCCATAAATATGTCGCAAACAGTTCAGTAACACAATTTCAATAACAGCATTCCCATAACCAGCAAAATCTCCATATAAATAAATATTTTCGCTCTAATTGTGATATGTCACGAATGAATATATGTAATCTCATGTTGGTGGGATAAAATTATTATTAGTTATCGAGAAATCTCTATAAAAAAGTTACGTATATAGGTTTATATTTTTATAACATAATTTTTCCAAGTCTGTTATGGGCATGTATTGCATAAATCGTTTGTGAACACAACATATGCTTATCACATGCAACTGTATATTTTTTTATATTAATACAAGAAATTCCCAACATTCAAATATTTTCGCTATTACTAAATAATGGAATGAATGCAGTGGGCATTTCGAGATATGGGAATTCATAGCATCTGCTAAATTCTAATTCTTACTGGGCAGTCTTAAGAAGTTGATGGTTATCGGGCTTGCGTATAAAACGAGTCAAATATTATTGTTATCGATGACGATGCAGAATACGTAAGTCGCTAGAAGCCTTCATCATAATAACAGAAATTTACGTAGAAGTCGAAGTCTGTTGTTGCGGATTATATTCCAATAATGCTATTGGAAACGTCTTGATGTGCGTTTGCCATTGCGCCGATAATTGGAAGAATTTTACGCCATACCATTCGGTACCGTCAATACTCACTGCAGTAAGAATAATGTCACTATTGATTAATATGAATTAATGCGAACTACACATTACTGATTAATCAAATTAATAATAAGAGAGAAAGGTGAGTGCAGGATGATTTTTGCTGCATTCAAACCTCCATTTCACTTTACATTAAATGTTATATTAATATGTTATTTATATTTAAAAATTTATATGTTAATTATATTTAAAAAAAATTGTATAATTTATAATAAAATTACAAAATTTTATTTAAAAAGAATTTTACCTCTTAATGGAATGTTGTGAGTTTTTGCAGAACATATTAGGCGCGTCACGCCATCCACCGATTGACTTTTCGGCTCGTTTTCTTTCTCTTTTTCCTTCTTTTTACCTAACCTCATTACTGAAAGCGAATAATTTTCATTTAAAGTTAGATATTTATATTATATTTTAATTTTTAATACAAAAATTTATCTTATTTTTTTCTGAAAGTAAAAATATAATTTCGTGCTTACTTTTTTGCTTTTTCTCTTTTGTTGTGAAATTCATAGACAAGTGATGTCCTGGAACTTCGCCTAATGAGGGAAGTCTTTGCACGTGCAACGCTCTGAAAGCTTGACGTAATGTACTCTTTCCCTTTTCACCTTGAGTCTGTTTACTCCAATAATCCAGCTGTAGCTCCACTGGTTCCCATCCTTCCCTCGCTGGTTGACCCACGTTAGGACTACTGGGCGGTGTCAACTTTCCGGGAGTTGGAACGGGCAAACTGGGAGCAGGTAGGGAAGGCGGGGAACCGGACATACTAACGTTACTCTCTTCCAGATCGACAGATGCGGAAGAACTGCTCTCTGGACAACCCACACGAACGTCATTTATAAAGGGAATAAAGATTTGGCTACTGTCGTCCGTTTCCCTAAGAATATAATTAATCTGAATTCCAATATGCCTGTTCAGGACCGTTTTTAAAAAAAATTTTTTATATCAATTACCTGTACGTAACCATAGCTTCCGCAATGGGTAACAGCAGAACCGTATTTGCTGTGGCCAAGTATTCCGATACTCGTGCCGCGCATTCGCTCGAGCTTCCACCTTCTCTCTCTAACAGCTCCTTCCATTCGTCTCCAAATAGCTTCGAATACCTGGCGTCGATAGAACCGAGATATCTCGTTAATGTATTCGAACCGAGCGGCACCACTAAGAATTTCATGTAGTTTTGCCAATCCGGCGGTCTGAAGCTCAACAAGTCGACATAATGACGGAGAACTGTGTTTATAAAACTATCTCCGCCAGCAATAATCACCTTTATAGGTGCCGGTGGTTTTGCGGAACTGTTGCAACTGAAAATAAAGAGCTACAATTAGTATGCATGTAAATTTTCTTCTTATATTCGTCTCTTAAAAATAATCTCTTCCAAGAGAGAGAAAAAGATAAAATGTTTTTATTTTATGTACATATAATTGATATAAAAATGGAAGATTGAGAGAAAATCTAGAATAGACGAAACATTTTGTTCCAATAATTTCAGATAAAGTCGGTTGCACAAGAAAAAACTCATATTTTGCAATAAAAAGTCGAATTGGGGAATAAGAACACCGGCACACAAAAAAAAAAAGTGGTTTGTGCATTTGACCGGACCCATCTACGGACATGTTTTTCGACCCGCTGAATCCGAATTTGAGGTCCGTTGGGCTCGGTCAGGTCCCAGAT